TCATTTGCAAACATTGTCGTGAAGAATGTTATATTGGTATTAAACAATCTGACACATAATATATAACCTTACCAGAGTGGGGGGAGAGGGATTGTTTATAATAAGTTCTTATAACCCCTTATAGCTAGCAATATACTCTCTCAGATCTATCTCCACTCGGTTCTTCCTGGATACCATCATTCTTGTCGAATTCATCATGGTGGGCGAACTGACCTGCATTCGTTCTCACCTATCGTCTTCAACTGGTACCTTGTCAGTGTATACCAATAGGGAGGGCGGAATTACCATTCCATTTTCACCGTTTAAAAAAAAAAAAACTATGCCTTGTAGTTTGTAAACGACTCCTAGACAGAGGTTTTTCTTAATTCCACTGTATTTTTTATTACACAAATTCTTACCAGAGCGGGGAAAAGGGATATTTATAATAAGTTCTAATATTTCCATTGCTAGCAATATCCCTAACAGGGGGGAAGGGATTGTTAGTAATGGGATCTAACCATAATCCATTGCCAGCAATACACCCTATCAAGTCGACCTCTACGTGGTTCCCCCTGGAAACCATCGTGGTTGATTCTAGTGGAATTCGTTACGATGGGCTAACTGACCTGCTTTCATCGTCACTTATCATCCCTCACTGGTGTCCCGCCAGCGTATACCGATAGCGCAGGCGGGGTTACCATTCTATTATCATCCATTAAAAAAAATCCTTAACAGGTCGACCTCCACGTGGTTTCTCCTAGAAACCATTGTGGTTAATTTTTTATATATTCATCACGGTGCGCCAACAGACCTGCTTCATATTCATCTATCATCCCACACTGGTACTCCATTAGCGTATACTGATAGTGCAGACGGGGTTACCGTTCCATTATCATCCATTAGGAAAAAACCTTACTAGAATGAGGCATTGTATAAAAGTTGTCGTTAGTGTTTCTGATATGAAGCAGCTGAATTTGCATGTCTGTGTTTCGGTTTGATGGTAAATATGACATGGTATCAAATATGCATGAAGGGATGGACAGCAGCGTCTGTCTTAAAATATCACTAAAGCGGTGGCCGATCAGCCTGCCAAGCGTAGTTACTTTGGAGGCCTTTGTTTAGTAGTGGACAGTTAAAGGTTGATATTTTGTTTTATGCAACTTAGAACGGTAAACAAGGTGACGGCCCACCTGATGGAAAGTGGTACCAGTCGCCTATAGACATGAGCAGTATCATGGACATAACAGAGTATACTGTTTCACCCATGATACACCCTATGCGTTGCCATTCCTGAGGACTCAGGTATTATTCCTCTGTATCCAGTAAATTCACTGCCATATCCCACCCTTCAAACCGAAACGCAGCCATGCAAACACAACTGCTTCACGGTATAACACCATAGTCCTGGGGGAAAGGGATTGTTAGTAATGGAGACTGAGAATCCCATTGCTAGCGATATACCTAATCAGGTCGACCTCCTCGCGGTTCCCCCTGAAAACTATCATGGTTAATTGCTGATGAATTCATCATGATGGGCTAAGTGGCCTGTTTTCTTTCTCATCAATCACCCTTCACTGGTGCTCCGCCAGCGTATCCCGTTAGCGCAGGCGGGGTTACCATTCCATTTTCATCCATAAAAAAAACACCATAGTCCTTATGAATGGCAACACACATATATGTTTAAAGTATGATAAAATTTCTATAAGACCAATTTGAAGGTATACTCTTTCTGATAAAAGAAAAAGTATTTTCCAAATTGATTTACAAAAGACTGAGTTCTGAGAGAATTAATAAAAAATAAAAAATATGAAATATATATATATATCCTCCTTTTGTGAAGTCGGTTGATAAAATGTCAATCTTCCTAACGTAGGAATTAGGAAGAGCAACACTGCAACAGTTATCGCTCTGCAAAAATTAATTCTGAGAATTGATAAAAAAATAGTTTTGACATTGTTGGTTTAACCTATTTAGTTATTTTTATTGCATACATTTTAATGAGGTAATTCCTTATCACAGTAGCAACTCTTTTATATAGATAGACAGATATGTATGTATATACTTATGCGTATATACTTATAAATAGAAAACTGAGTTTGTTCGTTTGTTTGTTAGTCACTTTTTAGTTAAATAAAAAACAATTAAAGTAAAAACCAATTGGATCGAAAAGCTCGAGACCGTACAAAGTGATGCAATTTAGAAGCCAGTCAATCAATCATCTTTATTCATATACATCTGTTACAGATTCTTATGATACGTCAATCTATAATTATAATAATTACTATATAAAATAATATTGATTTAAAAAAAAATACAATAATTACATTTACAATACAATTCACATTAATGCAATATTCAAATCCATGCAGTTTTGTCATTTAGACAGTCATTTATTTTATAATATGCTTTTGTACTTTATTGAGTAGCTTATATCCTACACTGGATTGCCGTGAGCTGATGATGATGATGACCAAGTGGAAAATGTCATCAAATTGACAACGATTGGATGCGTAAAGCACAGGACAGTATAAAGCAATTTGGGAGTATCATATGTCCTATACTGGAATATTGGTTAATGATGATGATGACGATACTAGTGGACTGTCAGATATTTTTGTTATCACAATTATATAAATTATAACAAAGTAATTTTTGTATACAATATAGTATAAATAAATTAATATAAAAACACTTTTATATAAATATATAATTAAAAAATACCAATAAAGTCATTAATGAGTGGGTTTATTGATCCTTCATCAGGAAAAAATAATAATGTATCGCGGTGTTTCCCAACGTGAAGCCCACGCCCCACAGGAGGGCCTGATAGGGCAATTTGATAGTTAAGGGGGGAGGGAGGGGGGCAATAAAAAAATATACTCGAAGCGGCCATTTAAACGCAATGCTACGAGTAGATATCGGTGCCAAATTTAATAAAAAAGTAAATTTAAAAAAATTATGTAAATATTTATTAAGTACAATTTCGTTTGACATTACCAAAATATCAACTCGGCGATTAGAGTCGTCAAGTAAACTTTGTCGGAAAAATTTATGTATGGGGGCATAAAAATTTTAGAAATGTTCAAGTGGGGCATGGCACTAAAAAGGTTGGGAAACACTGATGTAACGAGAATTTTAAAAGGTATAATTTTAATAATCGATTGTAATCGATTACTATTAGTCGATTCATTCACAATATTGATAATACGTTGAGTCATCTCAAATAATCGTGACGAATCTCAAATACAGTGCTGACAAGGCTGTCTGTTTAATTGTACCGTACAATATCAGTGTTATAAATTATTTATTTCTCGCTGTGTGATGATGGCAGGGCCGGCTCTAGGGACATGAAGGAAGAGGAAGAAGGCAAAGTTGTAAATGACAATTTGGAACATCGCCCAATACGAACATTTTGTTTCCAGGGGTATTTTCGTTTTTACCAAGCATACATTCGTAAACAAACTGGCAGTCCACCAGATGGAAAGTAGTACTTGCTACATATTTCTAGCATCATTCACATCAAAGACGTTTTCGTGCTACTAACAGTACCTCTTACATACCTATTTTGTAAAGAATAATAATGGAATGGTAACCCGTCTGCACTATCGGTATACACTGACGGGGTACCAGTGACGGGTAATAGGTGTGAATGAAAAGGCAGGTCAGTTCACCCATCATGACGAATTTCTCAAGAATTAACCAAAATGATTTCCAGGGGAAATCGTGTGGAGGTCGACCTAATAGGATATATTGCTAACAATGGAGCTATTAGATCTCCACTATTAATAATCCCTTCCCCCCATACATACTATTGCCAATAGGTATTTCAATCATCATCATCATATCAGCCGTTTACTGTCCACTCCTGAATATAGGCGTCCCCCATAAAGTGGGGGGTTGCCAGTAATTGTCACGTTTGGCAGGCGAATTGACAGCCGCAGTTAATCTTTGGTGATGTTTTAAGAGGTACGCTGCTGCCCATCCCTCGATCATTAAGTTTCCTTAGTCGACTCTTACAATACTCACGGGATAGGAAGGAATGGGCCATTCTATGCCTAGACAATAGGTATTTGTTCTTACTGAATACTTATGATTGTCATAGCTTTTGTGAAGTATATAAATTGTATGGTTAGCAGTTTTTTCATTTGACAGTTGCGTTGTTGTAAATTCAATAAAGACTATGATTATTAAATTAAAATCATAAACAACGAGATAATTTCTTAAATTTCTGTTTAAAATAAAATGAGTACCGATTTCTTTGTCATATTTTAACAATAATATAGTATTGAGTAGTTTCCAAGTATTTTTATTTAACTTTTAATATGTAATGATAATTTAAATGACATAAAATTGAATCATATATGTTTTTACTTTTTTTTTATAAAATAAAAATATTTGCATGCCTACATTTTTTAAAATGTATGCCTTAAACAATGCCTACATTGTTTAAGGCAATTAAACACATGCCAAATATAGTAAGTACGTGATTTTTGTTTATAATTTTAAGACTGTTTAATGCAAATGAAGAAATAAATTCATGAACTCAAAACCCACAACAGGGCCGAAGCTAGATTCATGTTTAAGGTAGGGCAAAAGAACTTTTTTGTAGAACAGAAGCCATAATTAAGTGACTTCGAAAAAGCGAATCATTCTAATTTTCCTGGGGCTTTTTATTTTAAGTTAGGTCATTGGGCCTTTTAAGCTAGGGCATTGCCCCTAAATTGCCCCCCCCCCCCAGCTACGGCTATGACTCACAGATGAACGTTGCTTGGATCATCATGACAAAGTGTATTCTAGCTTGATGACCAGGCGATTGGTGTGCACAAGCAGATGGCCCACTTGGTGGAAAATAATAACTGTCGCTTATAGACATGAATCGACAATTATTATTGCTTATAGTCTTTTTATATTTATATTTTTTTAATGATTGGTATAAATCAAAGAACTTATATAAAACATATTTACAGATTTATTTATAAAAACAACATAATAACTAATAACTGAACACATACTGACCTTCATGTCCAAACATTCTTTCAGATCACCCGATATAAATACATAGTACCGTGACATTTTGATATAATATAATTATAAATCGAAATAAATATATATATTATTTATAAGTGTCAATAAAAAAAAAAAATTATCGAAGCCTAAGATTGTTTAAGTAAAATGAAGCAATGAAAGTATTAAATGATTATTTAACACAAAATGCAAATGAAGCAGCGCCAACTTTACATAATTAATGTGGTATGAATTACATGTATTATTTGATACAGAAAATATTTTTTATGGCACTAGAGTTCATTATCCAAATTAATAGTAAAAATTAATTTAAAATGATTTGTAAACTCCTTATAAGTTTCTTATTGTCAAAGCTGCAGTTAGAAAATATTGCTACAACATTTTTTACAGGCGCTTAATATTTGATTGCAAAATTTAAAGACCATACAAAAAATGATAATTAAATATACTATGGATTGTAATGAATAGTGTAGTAAGAATATTATATTTCAAATGAAACGGTACTATGCAAATTTTTCAGATGCCTACTTTAACAAACTATTTTATAATAATGTACAAAAATAAAATAATATTAAATTATTATTTCCTGTACACAGGTGGCAGTGACTATAGCTTAAAATAATCGTTGTGCAACTATTGGTCTTCAGTAGCCGGCGTCAGCGTCGTAACTATTTATTTTTCTGTCGTAGAGTCCTGGCAAAAGGAAAATTTAATAACACGATTAAGAGGTTAACTTCGTAAAAAATGCAAAGTAAGTTTTTTAAATTGTATCTATCTTGATGTGGTGTTAAATCGATACATTAGATCCATTTCAAAATCTGTACGTTATCTGTAGATATACCCGTAAAATACTAAATTTGTTTTAGTCGCGTATTGGCAAATAAGAAATCCTTATGTTTAGAGCGGTCATGATAGAACTTCAATAAATTTTTTTTTTTTGCTATCGTTATTCGTGCTGTCATGTATGGTCACCACAGAATTTGTTTTTTCTTTATGCAACTTAGAATGGCAAACAAGCTGACGGCCCACCGAATGGAAAGTGGTAACCGTCGCTTATAGACATGAGCAGTACCATGGACATAACAGAGTATACTGTTTCACCCATGATACCCCCCATGTGTTGCCATTCCTGAGGACTTAGGTGTTATTCCTCTGTACCCAGTAAATTCACGCCATATCCCACCTTTCAAACCGAAACACAGCCATGCAAAGACAACTGCTTCACGGTTGAAACACGAATGGGACAGAGGTACCCAAGCAATCGACCTTTGTACAAAGTCTCCCTCTGGTATATTATACCTTGAGATCCAGCTGTCAGTTGCAAACTCCTTAAGATAGCTTCAGGGATCGGTGGTGGAGTAGGCAAGTGGGCGCCCTCTGCCCGGAAGCCGTTCTCGTCAGCTGTGTAGGTAACGGTGTAGGTCTGGCCATCATCACCTATGTACGAATAGGAGCCTGCTACCTGTAGGGAGCCCTCTTCTGGAACTGCACCGGGAATAACACGTCCTGGAAGCAGAAAACATTTTTTATGCAACTTGAAATAGCAACTAAGCTGACAATGGTTCATTTAATGGAAAATGAACGAACTATATGTGATTATAAATCATCTATAAAATAAAATAAAAAAAAAAAAATTATTCAACTAAACCTAATTATGTACATAGAAGGATAAGATAGCTAATGTGGTAATGGGTTGGTCACATAGCTAGAAGAACCGATAACTGATGGGGAAGAAAGGTTCTTGAGAGGCAAGCCGGTACGGGCAAACAGTGTAGGCGACCCTCGACTATATAGAGTGACGAGCTCAAATGTATTGCAGGGAGTCAATGGATGCAGGTGACTCAGGACTGTTCCTTATGACAGTCTGTGGTCGAGACCTATCTTCAGTAGTGGACAGATAACGTCTTATATGATGATAATTATAAGCATCTTTGAATAGTAGTTTTTTCATTAATCTACCGTCTACTTTGGAATGAAATTTCACTTGGCAAGAACGAGTAAAAACACAGCAAAAATGTCAATGAAAAATGATCATTATAAACTTTATATTGATAAAAACTAATTAATCAGAGTTCTTGATCAAACCAGTTCCTACCAGAAGGACTCGTCCATGAGTATGAAGTGTCGGTCAGTGTTTTTTTTTTTTTAGTTGAAAATGGAGTGGTAACCCCGCCTGCGCTAATGGTATACGCTGGCGGAGCACCAGTGAAGGGTGATAGACGAGAATGAAAACAGGCCAGTTAGCCTATCATGATGAATTCATCAGGAATCAACCATGATAGTTTCCAGGGAGAACCGCGAGGAGGTCGACCTGGTTGGGTATATTGCTAGCAATGGGATTCACAGTTTCCATTACTAACAATCCCTTTCCCCCCAGCGCAAGTGGGGTTGCTATTCCATTATCACTCATAAAAAACCCGCAATCATTCGCTTCCGCGTATTCAGGTAAATACTAAACAACCAAAGGTTAAGCCAAACCAAAAATTAAGCCAATTGACTTGATTAATACCATCGTTAACCTTTATATATATTGCATTGTTTGTATTCACATAAACAATTAAATTACATAACACGATTATGATGTCCGATAATCAACGCGCCGACGTGAGGTAAATAAACATTTTGTAAGATTTATAGCGATCTGGTAGAAGGTCGTATGGGAGTTATGAATTGTGGGTTGAACTGTGTCCGATTTTTTTTTGTGGAATTTGTATTAAAAACAATTTGTCGTCAAATTTGGTATTTTTTTTTGTGGAGTACAAACTTTTTACAATTATAATGTAAACGAAAACTCTCATCGTTCATCGATGCCTTTTATTCGTTTTGAAATTAATATATATGTATTTATATAATATCTATATATCAATGGATATTAATTTTGTAATATTCTTTTGTGAAGCAAAAGTTAACTTGTTAAAATGTAGTATGGAGATTTAGGGCTCGCCTTTCACTAATGCGAGTGATAAATATTTTAGCGTTTTAACAACGAAATGTCAGCGCTTGCTCGGAATTGAACTGGTGACCTTACAGGATGGCGAGGTCGCACAATTGAAGCGAAACGAATGGTGCATCGCTCAACACGTTGAGCGACACTTTAACTTAAGTGTCTTGTTGGACATTTTTAGAAAATTAATTATCATATATCAGTTGGTACGCGAACAGGCATATGAATGCACGTTTGGGATTTGTATAGCAAAAAAAAATACAACCGCATTGAGAAGTTGCTTTTATGAAGTCGGTTTAAAATAATTTGAATTTAGAATGAGACCGTGCCTTGTAAACATTCCGTATTGCTGTGTAGTAGTAATTCCGTAAAAAGAAAAAGAGTTATCAATGCAAGATCATTGTGATCGCCTTTTTACTAACATATGTTAAGTTTTTTTATATTCGCATATTAGGTCGAATATAAGGAGCCATTTCTCTATTTTTTAACGTATTTTATTTTGACAAATTCACGAAATTATTATTTTATGAACCCTTATAAATGAAAATGATAATAATTTTCACTCTTTTCATTTAAGAGTTTCCTCTTGTCGGTGCAACTAATTCATGCATCTTCCACCAGCCAGCTCTATCCCAGGCCATATCCTTGACCTCCCTATACGACATGACACACAGTGTTTTCTTTATTTGTCCCATGTAGTTGTCTTAAGTATCATAGTATATTTATTAGAAAAGTAGCTGTTTACCGCGGCGTTGCTCGCGTGAATCGATATATACCTTATCCTATGATTTAAAATACGATATATGACCTACCTACATACTTTATAGGATTTTATACGTGATTCTTTAGATTGATACAACTTTTTTATTTATAAACCGATTGAAATAAAACAAAAATTAAATGTTAAATAGGGCAAACCGTAAAGCATTATTGAAAACCGCATTTAAATCGGTTAAGCTTTGTCTGAGGTTAGCGCGTACAAACCTACAGACAAACAGACAAAATTCTAAAAATCATCGTTTTGAGGTTCTATTGCATTCATAAAGCCTCCCTATAATAGTATATATCTTCCAAATACAGACAAGAACCAGTTACGATTTTATTATATGTATTGAGTAGTTTATATTGATTCTTTTACAATAAAAATTCGATGTTATGTCAAATTGAAATGCTTAGAGATTGGTTTAGAGAAATGACGCATTAGAATCGACCCCAATTTGTGAGAGCCTTCTAAAAACTTAACACTTGACATCCGCATAAAGTGTCAGTTATTTAATCACTTTGCACTTTATATGTTAATTGAAATAATGTAAACAAAATGTAAACTAATTACTTGTACAAATAAAATTTAGAATAAATTAACTTTGATAATTAATTTTATTGATTTAATAACTCTTTTTTTTGTAACTGAACCTGTTCCTTTTAAATTTACGACGCATGTAAATGACGTTATTAATGATTTAATTGGTGGATCCGTTACATAAATCGTAGTTTATTTATATATTATGACTAATTATATATATATTTTTTTTGTTTCATATATTTTATATTTCAATTCGTCTGCATTTTTTTCTATATGATATCATTGCAGCTTTTTTTTTTCTAATGTATGATAACGGAATGGTAACCCCGCCTGCGCTAACGGTATACGCGTGCGGGGCACCAGTGAGAGATTATTTTTTAATGGATGTAATTGAATGGTAACCCCGTCCGCGTTACCGGTATGCACTGGGGGGGCACTGGTGAGGGATGATAGGTGAGGATAAAGCAGGTCAGTTAGCCCACATTGACGAATCTAACAATAAATCAATCACAATGGTTTCCAGAGGGAACCACGAGGAGGTTGAACTGATATTAGTATATTACTAGCAATGGGGCTACTAATTCCCATTGCTAACAATCCCTTTTCCGCCCTCACCAGTGAGGGATGATAGGTGAGAATGAAAAGGCAAGTTAGTTAGTTCATTTGATAAATACACTTGGAATTCAGCACGATGGTGTTTAGGGGGCACGCAAAGCTCGATCTGACTATATTTCTAGCAATGGGACTGGTAATCCGTATTACTAACAATCCCTTTCCCTCCTCACGAGTTACCAGAGGGAGACTTTGTACAAAAGTCGTTTGCTTGGGTACCTCTGTCCTATTCGTGTTTCAACCGTGAAGCAGCTGTGTTTGCATGGCTGTTTCGGTTTGAAGGGTGGGATATGGCGTGAATTTACTGGGTACAGAGAAATAACACCTGAGTCCTCAGGAATGGCAACGCATGGGGGGTATCATGGGCGAAACAGTGTACTCTGTTATGTCCATGGTACTGCTCATGTCTATAGGCGACGGTTACCACTTTCCATCAGGTGGGCCGTCAGCTTGTTTGCCATTCTAAGTTGTATAAAAAGAAAAATGATTATAAATATAGTACTCACCATCCTGTTCCACTTTAGTTCCGTCGCTGGTTTCATAGGAGTAATGGTAGCCCTGCTCATCGATTTGATTATCATACTTCAAAATTGTGGCTTGATTTATCTGACTGGCGGATCCAAAATTTTGGCCGCCACTTCCAAAGTTTTCAGTACCGGATCCTGACTCGAAGGGTGTCTGGAGACCAGCGTTTGACCCGCCCGAGGATCCGGAGCTGGCTGGTAGGTAGACGTTGTCCAGGCGAGCCGCTGTGGCTGACGCCAGTACGAATACGATGAACTGAAAATTACATCATATATTGTTAAGCAATTTTCAACTAACATCAAAAAGAGGGGGGGGGGGGAAGGATTGTTAGTAATGTGGAGTAATGGCCTCAATGCTAGCAAGCCTTGTTAGGTCGACCTCCACGCGGTTCCCCCTGGAAACCATTGTGATTAATAATTCTTGCATTCGTCACGGCGGGGTAACTGACCTGCTTTCATACTCATATATCACCTCCTGCTGGTGCCCTCCTAGTGTATACCGATAGCGCAGGCGGGGTTACCATTTCATTATCATCCATTAAAAAAAAACATCAAAAAGAATTTGTTTGTATTTTTTTATGTTTGTTACCTCATATCTCCGTCAGTTCAAAACTGATTTAGATAGTTCTTTTTTTATATGAAAGGACATACTTACATATTGGTTACATAGAATTTTTATCAAAATCGGATGAATAGTTTAGTTTTTAGATCAAAATAATCATTGGAGTCGGTTTTTTTATGGGGACACAATCTTATATGATTTGATTTATGGTGAAAATCTGAGTAAATGAAATTATTTTTATACGATTAGGAATTGAAAAAACGCTAGCTGAATATAATTAGCAACGCTAATAAGCTGCTATAGGTATGAATAGTTCCACGGACATCACAGTTTATACTGTGACGCTCATGGTAGCTCTAATGCGTTGCGTTACGCGGGTTAACAATCCTTACGCGGGTTAGCAAAAGTTAGTAATGTTTTAAGAGGAACGTTGCCGCCTATCCTTCGCCCTCCCTTAGTCGCTTTTTACGACATCGACGGGAAACAAAGGTGTGGCCTATTCTATGCCGGGACCACATGGACATTCACTCGTAAGTCCCATTTAGAATTAATTTCAATAAAAAAATGTATTATATAGTTCTTTTTTTTTTAATTATTTGATCTATTAACCATCTAAGATGGGTGTATTCATAAAATTAGGCGGTATGTTTTCAGAAGTATTCTACTACACTAGTATTTATTTTTATTTGTATTTATTTTTAAATAACGAAATGTGATATCAGAAATAATTTAATTTTTTTTCGATATTTATGATTATGTGTTTTACTTGGAATCGTTCCAAAAAGTTATTAATTAAAATTAAAATATATAATTCAATTTTGTAAATTAAAATAACATAATTTTAATTAAATGAAAATAAATTATTTTAAGTATGCCGGTTAAGTGAGAAAGTAAATAGGTATGTTCAGTACATATCTGTTTACTTTCTTACCGGCGTACGTTTAATAAAATTTTATAACGTTTTATTATAAAATAAATAAATAAAAATTAAAAAAAACACGTTCCATTTAAAAAAAAATATGACACACAACCTACCTTTGACTTCATCAATAATAATTCACAAATATCGATCAGTGTATAAAATAAAAAAATATATATATATTGGATACCAATATCTTTACCATTATTATTAATTTAAAAAGAGTTTGTTTGTTTGTTACCTGTTAGCGCCTTAATAGCTTAACCAATTACTGTAAAATTTTATATAAACGTAATAATATGACATGGATAAAGTTATAGGCTACTTAACATCCCGACCAGTAAACGTATCCCGATCACGCGGACGAAGTCGCGGGTAAAAGCTAGTACAACAAAAACCACAATCCAATCACTCGTTTATTTTTTTAAATCGATTCTAATTAGTGATGTCCCATATTTTCATGGACCGCGCAAGTTTGCAGTCACTCACAAATTGTGACACTTAAAACATCGTATGCAAATAGAAAGGTAAGTACTGTATATCACAGCATTGCTGAAGGTAAATAAACACAGGTACTAACGTATTTCATATCGACGTAGATGCGTTTCGTACGGGTGATATCAGTGAAATGTGTTGGCTAAGTACATCTGCCTCGTTTTATAGCAATGCCTAGTCGAAATATTCGAATGATATAGGATCGGAATGCGACGCTCGATTTTTACCATCCCTTCACGATTTATAAACTCTATTTCGTCGTGCATAAAGTTCATATTGGATTTAGATTGAAACTGTATCAAATACAAGGACTATGATATCGATTACTTATACGTTTCCGATGATGCTACCTATTGGATTGCTATGAATTTGTATTGGATCGATAAACTTGACATTGGATTTATATTTATTGTAATCGATAATCGTATTTGGTTATTGTTTTTGGTGTTTAATTGTAAAGAGGTACATTTTGAAATTTTTCCGTGTGGTCCCGGCGTAGAATGGGCCACCTATTCGTTTCCCGTGGGTGTCGTAAGAGGCGAGAAAGGGAATTTAATGGTATAGGGATGAGCAGTAACGTTCCTCTTCGTTCACCAAAGAAAGCCTAACTGCGGTTGTCAAACCGCTTGCCAAACGTGGAAACTAAGGGCAAATCCCTCCAAACGCAGCAGTGGACAGTTAAGGGCTAATATCATCGTCATCATATTCTGAATTCCGCAAAATAGCTTCTTTCTGAAGGAATAGTCAAGTCAGAATGAGTAGTCAGTCTTCGGAACCGGCGTCCGTACATAAGACGAGTAATGAAAGGGCGAGAAGCAAGAGATGCGTTTAAGGATATAGATCTTTGGGAATCAGTTCTCTTTGTCTACCCCATAAGAGACTTGACGTGAAGATATATGTCAACACATATATCTATAGGAGACGATATGTTTCATTTTACATTTTTTTGTATTTAACTTGGAATGGCCAACAAGCTGACGGCCCACCTGATGGAAAGTGGTAACCGTCGCCTATAGACATGAGCAGTACCATGGTCATAACAGAGTACACTGTTTCGCCCATGATACCCCTCATACGTTGCCATTCCTGAGGACTCAGGTGTTATTCCTCTGTACCCTGTAAATTCACGCCATATTCCACCCTTCAAACCGAAACACAGCCATGCAAACACAACTGCTTTACGATTGAAACACGAATGGGACAGGTAGCCACGCAAACGACTTTTGTACAAAGTCTCCCTCTGGTAAACATATTTTTTTATTATTATTATTTTATCAGCCGTTAATTGTCCACTGCTGACCGTAGACCTCCATGTCTACTGCCTCATGCTGCCTCAATCATTAAATTCCCATAGTCATCTTTTACAACACCTGTGGGAAAAGAAGGGGTGACCCAGACTATGCGGGGGAAAAGGGATTGTTAGTAATGGAGACTGAGAATCCCATTGGTAGCAATATACTCAACCAGGTCGATCTCCTCGCGGTTCTCCCTGAAAACTATCATGGGTTTTTTTTTATGGGTGAAAATGGTATGGTAACTCCGCCTGCGCTAACGGGATACTCTGGCGGAGCACCAGTGAAGGGTGATAGATGAGAATGAAAACTATCATGGTTAATTCCTGATGAATTCATCATGATGGGTTAACTGGCCTGCTTTCGTTCTCATCTATCACCCTTCACTGGTGCTCCGCAAGCGTATAACGTTAGCGCAGGCGGGGTTACCATACCATTTTCACCCATCAAAAAAAAAGACCCAGACTATGCCGGGACCACACGGCAATTGCATTACGCGAACAAACACTAATGGCCATTAGTGTTTGTTCGCGTTTAGTTTTTTATAATTTTAGAAATTGTAAATAGCGTAACATAGAAAAAAAAATTAGATGAATCGAGAATCGCTTAAAAACATTCAGCTCATTAAGTCATGGAAGAACATTAATATCTCAATCATTTGCTGAAATTGATGGCCGAAGTCTGAGTAATTATATCATCACGACTTTATCTCTGAAGGGCTAGTCAGAGGTGTTTATGAGTCATGCCTATATGTAATTGTAAATGACGGGAGCCGTCATCTTTTTCATTGATAATGATCATAATCAATCAATAAATTAACTTGTTAGAGAATCAATCAATAATATAGCTAATTTTTTTTCATTTAATTTCTAATTATGTAAAGTATATTTCTTTTACAGAATGAAACCCTTGACTATATGGAATGGTAATCATACCTGCGCTATTGGTTCATGTTGGGGTACCAGTGAGGGATGAAATAAATAGATTTTTTTTTATACCACTGAGGTGGTAAACAAGCATACGGCCCACCTTTTTTTTTTACAACACAGGGGGCAAACGAGCATGCGGCTCACTCGATGGTAAGTGACTACCGCCGCCCATGGTCACCCATAACACCAACGGCATTGCAGGTGTGCTGCCGGTAAGCGGTTACCGTAGCCTATGAACACCTGCAATACCAGAGGTATTACGCGCGCGTTGTCGACCCTGAAGAAACCTATTAGATGAGGATGAAGTTATGTCAGTTAGCATATCACATAGCTATTAACCACGATGATTTTCAAAGGAGAACGTGTGGCGGTCGACCTGACAGGGTATTATCACCATTATTATCGATATCAGTCGTTAACTGTCCACTGTTGAACATAGGGAGGCTTATTGAGGGTTTTACCAGTAGTTGCCATGCTTGGCAGACGGATTGGCAACCGCAGTTAGGTTCTACTAACATTTAAAGTGAAACGCCACTGCTCACCCTCGACCTTGAAGTTTTTCGTCGCCTCTTGTGATACCCATGGAAAAGGAAAGGGTGGTTTATTCTATGCCGGGACCACAAGGCATATAGCTGCAGCGTGCAAAACAAAAACACGACTAACAGACTATTGTTAATAATATGATCTGAAAGCTTGTATATTTTATACATATGTTTAATTATATTGTAATATATATATCAATATTATATATATATATATATATATATATATATATATATATATATATATATATATATATATATATATATTGTTATTATTTGTTATTTTCTTTACGTATCCTAGTAATGAAGTACCGCCTTTTGTACCACATTTTTTTATGGCACATAAAGTTATTTAAATAAAATATATTAAATAATGTGTCTGCTATAGTAATGTAGAGCTTATGCTATCTAAACTTCTGCAATGAACTCTTTTTTTATGGCCTTAAAGGCTATCAGATATAGCTCAAATGGTTGCCTATTGTGCACCGGTGATGTGGACCGTACAGATGGCTCACATTACTGAATATTTAATCAGAAAATATAATAAAATATCTAAAGTATGAGCTGCATTCATATAATTTATATATATATATATACATATATATATGTATATATTTCATATATATGTAAATTTTAATGAGAAATGATGAAATTTTAGAATAATCTACTATCGACAACCAATAGATGTCTTTCAGTTTCAAAGAACAACTTACGAGTAGATACCGCAGTTAGGCTTTAGAGATGAGAGGGTATGATAGGAGGGTATGGTACGCTACTGCCCATATATTGCCCTCCCTTAGTCACCTCTTATGAGGCTAACGGGAAAAGGGTGGAATATTCTATGCCGGGACCACACGGCCAAAATACAAATACAAAATTAATATGGGGACTAAAACAGGAGTATATACGATTCCAAATAGATTGATGGAAATCGCTTAATAATAATAAAAAAAAAAAAATACAAAACATATTTTGAATTGAGAAGTACCGTCTTTTTTTTTAAATACAGAGGTTAAACGAACATGCAGTTCATCTGATAGTAAGTGACTACCGCCGCCCATGATCACTCACAACACCAGCGGCATTGCAGGTGCGCTACCGGCCTTTTAAAAAGGAATATGTTCTTTTCTTGAAGGTTACGATATTGTATCGGTTCTAAATAATAATAATAATAAATAATTTTCTTTCTATAATTCAAGGGTTATACGAGTATAATTACATCTTAAGGTATAATCTTTTAACTATGATCTCGCTTCGCATACGTTAATTGGTATAAAATATACCACGCGTTAATCCACGATAAAGTTGACCCGTGTACCAAATTCTATTGAAATCTATTCAACCGTGATTGAGTAACACTCATTTAAACATCTTTACAAACTTCCAACTTTAAAATATTATTATTATAGTACTGAGCAGTCCAATATAATTGACATCTTAAAAAATTCATACAATAGAGGCTTTATATACACGTGGTATTTTATTTATCATTTTGTAAGATGGTTAATATAATATATAATCGATTATATACGTCTAAGAAGATAATTAAGCGAACAAAATTAGGCATTTGAATGTAAACTCACAAGATATATCCTACTTCCTATTAAGTATTATTTTATTTATTTAAAATTTTTGTCTAGCTATGTTGATCGCGTGAATTTAAAAAGTAGAATAATCAAGGATATAAACCATTTCAGCTTGATGTTGACACATCAGGTCATAGGTCAGTTTTTAAGTTTTTGATGGATGAAAATGGTATGGTAACCCCGCCTGCGCTAACGGTATACGCTGGCGGAGCACCAGTGAAGGGTGATAGATGAGGATGAAAACACGCCAGTTAGTCCATCATGATGAATTCATCAGGAATTAACCATGATAGTTTCCAGGGAAAACCGCGTGGAGGTCGACCTGGTTGGGTATATTACTAGCAATGGGATTCTCAGTCTCCATTACTAAGAATCCCTTTCCCCCCACTCTTACAGAGTTAGGCTCGCCTGTTGTACATCTTCATTTAATATATAATTCATAAATATAACTGATTATTAATTTAATTTAATTTTTTTTTGATTAAACCATTAAAATTAAAGATTTATCGTGGATGATGAAAAAAATAATGTTCATAATTATCATTTCTTGTTACCGGATATTATTCCTATCACATAAAATAATGAGATTTTATATAGACTACAACTATGTAATTTTTGTGTACAATAAAATATAATTAAATAAATCGCAATTATATATAAATCGCATTCAATTTGATGCAGCAGTTTTCGAGTGATGCAGGAACAAACTTACAGATAGATATAGAAACAAAATTACTATAAATTAATATGCTGACATCTATTGGTTCTATTAAGACCCTCCCCCCCCCATTA